AACTTACACAATTTCTGTTATACAATATAAGCCTTCGTGTTTTTATCAATCAGTATAAACTAGGTTTTTCTACATAACAAACTGCAGAAGCTTAATAAAAATTCCTTTCTTACTCAATTCAAAGGGTAAGTGGGCCAAGGATCTTCCCCTTGTAGCTGCATCATAAAGTTGGGCTGCTGCTGTGGGGAAAAGGGAAAAGGAGACGCACACCAGCTGGAAAGAAACAGCTTTGTCCAGGTGCCCAGGGATGGTCTACATCCGTCCACTATCATGTCATTGGTCAGAACTACTCACTTGGCCTCTGCCTGTGGGTAGGGAAGCTGGGAAATGTGCAGGAGCCTCTGGATATATGATGAGCAGGACGGTGTCTGACACACTTTCCCACAGTGCCTAGGAACACTTCAGCTGTGTCTTTATTTATGAATGAAAACATACCTATCCTGGGGTAGACACAGAAGTACACAGCCTACTGGCAAAGGGCTGTCTAAGGTACCCAGTACTTTCTGGCTTTTATAAAGTTAAGATGAAAGTCCTAGGCAGCTCAATCACAGGAATGGAATGAACTTTTTTCAGTTGCTGCTAAGATACAGCACTACATGAATTGTTTTAATAGCATCCTTCATTCTGCAAAATATTTAGAGCACAAAGTAAAACAATACAGTTAGCTAATTTAGGCTTAAAAAAATAGAAAAATGAACATTATCTATTAGGGCCACCAAGCTCCTATGCCTAAAACCTTTTGCTTCTTGGCCTCCAGTAAAATAAGCTCATGGGCCTAATGCTCAGCCCCATGTAAAGTCGTCTGTCATACAACTATCACCCTTACTTCAGCACGGCTGGCAGTCACTGCTCACGGAAAGGAGTATATGTTACCATGGAGACCAAGCCACCTCTTCTCCCGAGAGTGGCTGAGTCTTCCAAGTCAGAAGAGCCATCACCAGAAAAATAGCAGGAGGTACTCACAGGGCCTGGCCGCCCCAAATCTGTATTCAGTCACTGTGGTGTTCCCATTATCTTTTGGTGTGGTAACAAAGACAAGCACTGTGCTAAAACATAATCCCGTGTAATTACTGTTTACAAAACAAATCCCTATATCCACCTAAACAATGCGGAAAGTTTAAATTGTAGTATGTTCTCTAGGTCTACTTAGTGCTTTATTAATGGGGTCAACCACTCTGCTTGACCTATCTGCTGAAATTTGTTAGAGCTGCAGGAGACCATATGGATGGCCAGATGGGTTGCTGTAATTAAATGCCATTATTACAAGGATGAAGTAAGGGATACACATAATTTGCATTACTTTCCATCCTTCCTGAATCCCTTTTATTAGTTTCATTGTTAATTCAGACATCAGAAGGGAAGATAATACCATTATTACCAAGGCCCAGATGCCAACTAATTACTACAAGAGACTCCAGCCCTGACATCACAGGCCAGCCCTCTGAACACCCTCCTTCTTACCTAGCGACCCCACTGTGGTGATTAATAGGTTGAGTGCTAAGACCTAATGAGTGTGTCAGATCTTAGATGTTCTCTAGGCAAACGCAATGAGCATTCAGTTGAACAGAATACTTGAGTTACTTGGTAGAGAGATTCATTATAGTTCATACATAGTAAACAAAATGCCTTTTCACCTTACAGTCTTTGAATTTACTTTATAGTCATCAACCTAAAAGGCCTCTATAATATGAGATTTTTTCAAATATTAGAGGAAAATTTAAATATTTTTAAACCAAATATTAAATTTCTTCTACAACTGTGGATCCCCCTGGAGTACCTAAACTGAAGTTTTTAGAGATACTGGTTGAAATTCTGATAAAATGGGGTTTGGGATAAGAACCATGACAATGTACTTTCAACAAGAGGTCCATGATTTAGAAGCAGGAAGTATGTGCATTATACTTAAGAAAACACTGCCATGTTAGGAACAGGACTAATATCTATGCCTTAGCTTCACTGAATCTACCAGACTTTTTGTTCCAAATAGTTACTATGTTTTTGAAAAAATGGTCTCCATCCGGGTAAGGGGAATTGTTTTCATAGTTACAGTTTTAAATGTGCCAACCTTTTAAATGTGCCAACTATTTCTGGTTAAAAGATTAAGAGCAAATTATTAAGGTAAGACCTGGGTGCTATTTCCAACAAACCATGCATGTTTGTGAGTTCTCCATTCAGCAGTGGACACTGCAGGTAGTAAAACTTCTATCCAGTGGGCAATGGGCCTGGAATGGTTTTCCCACCTTTATGGGAAAGACGAAAGGAGAACAGAATTTCTTCCATTTTGACTTTTCTCCATGGCCAAAGATGATACACAAAATGTCTCAGCCCTGATGAAGAAGGACTTTAATCTATTTACTTGGATCTCACCTTTATCATCACTGATACTATACACCAAGTATTTTCATGTGTCTAGCATTACTTTCTTCAAACAACCAGATGCAAATTGTTGATCTTTAATTTAGACCTATTATATTCATCTGTTACCCTAAATATTTAACAGCAGTTTTTTTCCAAATTGCTAACTATTTTACTAAACTACCATTTTCTTGATGAACTTCAAAAGAGTTCTGTGCTTTTTTTAACACTATATGTATTAAAATTAGGAAAATAAGAGCATGAATTAAAGGAAACCATTCAGCTAATAAATATGTAAGTATTTATTTATTAATTATAATTTGATACTAGATTTAATGGTTTGAGAAAAATAATTATATCATTCTTCATTCTAAGATCCCTTTAGATCCAGCCAGCAAGTAGAAGGCTGTCTTATGACTGTGGCAGATCTATAAACACATCCTGCTTTCACTGGAGGGAGAATGATTACTGTGGTAGTGAGCTCTGTCTGAGACTCGCTGGATGCTGTCTTATTCCATTCCTTTCTCTAGGAAGCCTGCATTTCCTAGCAACCCCAGCCCCTGCCTCTAGATAGGGCAGCTTAAGAGTTCTGACCAGTAGAATGTGGGCAGAAATGCTGTTTATCCCTTCCAGCCCTGGCTCCTAAAATATCCCTATGATCTTCCATGCTGTCTGCACTCATTCTCTGTCCAGCTGGATGGAGCAGATTTAAGGAACACTAAAGAGTCTTAGGCGATGGCATAGCCACTAGATGAAACATTGTTTGAGGAAGAAATAAACATGCATTCCCTTAAGGCACTAGGACTTTGAAGTTGTTTGCTTAAAACTAATAAAGTCAACTAAGATTTCACTTAACTAAAAAATTACACAAATATTTGTCTTACTTCTGTGTTAGTCAACTATCTACTGAATAGAAAATAATGAATGTATAGGACCTGAAGTCAAATTTAATACATGCAGCTAGCTTCACTAGAGGAATCTGTTTCAGTTGTATTTAACAACAGGGGAAAAACTACGTATCTTCACATCTGCACATTTGGAACTCAAGAACTTTGTGTGTTGCTTTAGCAAAATATTAGTAAGTAACACCTGACTCTAGGATAGAGAAATGAGACCCCAGTGCACAACAGATACCTTTTGGCACTGGAATAAAAATGCATCAATTTAACTGAATCAAAGGGTTAGGGAAGCAAATTCTGGATTAACGTAAAATCACTGATATACAGGGAGCAGAAAACATACATCACACACACACACCAACAGACTCACATGGGCACACACACAGGATTAATGGAGGAACACATCTTCACCTTGGTAGTATAATAAAGAGACAATATCCTAAAGAATAATCACTAAACAGTTGACCTTGATGGGGACAGCACCTAAACCAGGTCTTAGAAAGCCTGGCCTATGTCTAGCTCTGTCACTTCCTAGAGGTAAAGAAGATTTGAGAAAGGCAGAACATAGTGTTTAGATGTTTAGGCTCACAATTTTATCTGCCAATAATGGGCTATTTAACTTGGGAAGGCTATTTTATCTCTATTTCGTCAGCTATAGAATAGAAGATAGTATTTCACAGATTGATAAGAGACATAGGTCATATGATACATAGAAAACATTTAGAGAGGCCTTAGCTGAAAGTAAATACTAATAAATATTGGATATTATTACTAATGGTATATCTCCATCACTATGAGCCATATTTTCCTCAGCTATAAAGTAAGAAATTGCATGATTTGTATTTCTTTAAGTGCTTTGATTCTAAGTCAATACCTGTCTCTTAAAGTCAAATATCCAGTTTAAAAAAGAAAATTCTAAAAGCTAAATATTTTAAGTAATGACTTAAAGAAAATCTGTTGACAATCTGGTTTGCTGTTGAGATCGATTTAAAGAAGATGAGTGACACAATAATGTACTAATAACTCCATTTTTTAACATCCAGAGGTGGTGATATAGTACTTCTATTTATTCATGATCTCATAAATCATACCCTCATTTGAACATGGAATGCAGCAATTTTTAGGAAACCATTTAAATTTTTTTTAATGTTATATTAATGAGTACTACAGAGATGAATTATTTCAATTACAAAACCCTGAATGTATCTAGAATGTATATGGATAACATTCCATTTTTGCAACTTAAGGTGTAGTACTTTTTAGGCTTATACTGTCAGGAACTTGAGTTTCTTTCTCATTCAGAAGAAAGCATCTCTACCAACTTCAGGAATAGTAGGAAATGATGTTAATACTATAGTATAGACTTTATTCCAAATTAAATGGAATCCAGAATTCTATTTATTCCAAAAACCTTACCTCCTGCGTACATAACAGCCAGCATAATGGAGGACATCCATGTATTTCACTGCCTTCCTTGGAATTTCCATAATTTAGTAAATCTTAGTTTGTGCAAAGAAATCCCCAATCAAATAAATACTCTAGTAAGAGTCAGAATAAAGTGAATGGTTCAATATGTTCAATTACTGAAATCATTAAAAATTCAGTTCTAATTATACTTTTGGTTGGTTTTAAATGACTGTAATATGAAAACATAGCTTTAATATACTAAAACATTACATGTAAAACACTGTGGCATGGGGAAATTGTTTTCTTTATCCAGAATTCTATTTATTCCAAAAACCTTACCTCCTGCGTACATAACAGCCAGCATAATGGAGGATATCCATGCTATTTCACTGTAGGTAGTGTTGAATATTTGCTGAATTTCTTTAAAGAATACTGTGACAGCTTTGGGGAATGCATATGAAAATCCAATGGAGATAAAAGCTGCTCCAACCACTACCCAGCCCCATCCTCCATCAGGAGGTGGATGGAGTGGGGCACCTACTGGTGGTGGCATTTCTGCTCCTTTATTTGAAATTCAAATAACCTAAAAAAAAAAAAAATTTAGACCATACTACCATTTTCATAAAGCACTTTTAATAGTCACCAAAATAGTATTTTTCAGTTATGATTAGAACTATATAAAGTTTCATGAATACTTTTAATACTCTTATACTCAAAAAATTATCAGAAAATTTACAAAAATGTTGCAGTGAAGTATGTAACTTTGACTATGATGGGCTAAAAACCAAAAGCATTTGTTTATGGAAACAAAATTAACCAACTTTTTAGCATTGCTAACTTTATGGTATTTAAGAGCACCCACTCTCCATTGGAAGAAATGATCACATACAGCTTGATATAACTGACATTAAGTAAAAACATTTGTCTCCCTACTATCACTGTTCACGTGTACAGTGATGTGTCTTGCTTAGCTTTAAGCTGTTAATTGCCAGTTATTTTTCAGTATCTTCTTTTTTACAACTTTCATTCCATTTCTGGATATTTTCCTATTGAATGTAGACAGAAAAGAAGCTTTTTCTGTTGGTAAAATAATACTGGAAGTAAGTTTCTAAAGACCATTTTGCCATGTTTTCAGAAAACCTACAAAAAAACTCAACAGATACCTATGAAAACAGACATGGGTTTAATTTTTGTTTAATGCCAAAATATACCTAAAATATTTTCAGTGATCTATATGCAATTTTTATAGATTTTTCAGTGAAAGTATTCTCTACATTAAAGTTTTCTAATTTGTCCATGATTATACTCACAGGTTTTGCTTTCAGAAATTCATATAAGAAAAATGGTAAAAATGAAACAAAACAAGTACAGTAAATTTACCTAGGATAAATACTATCATGATGGGAAGTAGAATAAAAGTAATCATGTGGACAACCATAATTTTTTTGAATATTTATTTTGGCAAATATACTTGAGACTTTTTAATGTAATATTTTACAATAATTCATGGATGGAAGGAAATCAGTATAATCCATAATTACCAGATAACAGGACTGAAGGTTAAAATACTTATTGCAAGGAAGTTCTCAGACACACTTAACTTAAATCATTTTTTTCATGAGTTCTTTTCAGTTTTTTCTGAAGTATAAGTGACAAATAAAATTGTAGTGTGCAACATGATTTAATATGCATATACATTATGAAATAATTCCCACAATAGAATTAACATACTCATCACTTCACATATTTACCATTTTTGGTGTGAACAGTTTTCCTCTTTTAGTAAATTTCAATTATACAATACAGTGTTATCAACTATAGTCACATAATACATTAAATCCTGGGACCTCACTCATTTTATAACTGAAAGTTTGTACCCTTTACCAACCTCTCCCAATCTCCCACACTTCTCAGCCCCTGGCAACCCCCTTTCTGCTCTCTGTTTCCATGAGTACGACTGTTCTGTTTTTTATTTAAATTCCACATGTAAGTGATACCACATAGTATTTACCTTTCTCTGTCTGGCTTATTTTGCTTAGCATAATGCCCTCCAGTATCATCCGTTTTGTCCCAAATGGCAGAATTTCCTTTTCTTTAAGGCTGAATAACATTTCATTGTATATATATATTACATTTTCCCTATCTATTTATCCATCAAGGGATACTTGGTTGTTTACATATCTTGGTTATTATGACTAATGCTGCAGTGAACACGGTAATACAGCTATCTCTTTGAGATAAGCATTTCCTTTCTTTTGGTTGTATACCCAGAAGCAGGATTGCTGGATCATACAGTAGTTCTATTTTTAATTTTTTGAAGAACCTCTATCCATACTGTTTTCCATAGAAGCTGAACCAGTTTATATTCCCACCAACAGTTTACAAGGGTTCCATTTACTCCGCATCCTCACCAGCTTTTGTTATCACTTGTCTTTTTGATAATGGCCATTCTAACTGGTATAAGATGACATCTCATTGTGGTTTTGATTTGCGTTTCTCTGGCGATTAGTGACGTTGAGCACCTTTTCATGTACCTGCTGGCCATCTGTATGTTTCCTTCAGAGAAATATCTTTTCAGGTCTTTATCCCATTGTTAATCTGGGCTATTTATCTGCTATTGAGTTGTAGTAGTTCCTTGTATTTTGGATATGAAATTCTTATTGGATGTGTTTTGCTTATATCTTCTCTGATTACGTAGGTTGCCTTTCCCTTTTGTTGATAATTCCCTTTGCTGTTCAGAAACTTTTTAGTCTGAGTAGTCCCACTTATTTTTGCTTTTGTTCCTTTGCTTTTTGATATCAAACCCCCAAAAAATGATCACCAAGAGCAATATCAAGGAGCTTACCTCCTTTTTTCTTCAAGGAGTTTTATGGCTTCTGATCTTACATTTAAATCTTTCATCCATGTTGAGTGATTTTTGTGTACGTTTTAAGATAAGGATCAAGTTTCATTCTTTTGCATGTGGATATCCAGCTATCCCAGCATCATTTATTTAAGAGACTATCATTTCTCCATTGCGTATTCTTGGCACCTCTGTCAAAAATTAACTGACCATATATACATGGATTTATTTCTGAACTCTCTATTCTGTTCCACTGATTTATGAGCCTATTTTAATGTCAATTTTCTACTGTTCCAATTTTTTTATTACAATAGCTCAGTAATAGAATTGAAAATCAAGAGGACTGATGTCCCCAGCATTGTTCTTCTTTCTCAAGATTGCTTTGGTCATTTGGGGTCTTTTGTGGTCCATTCAAATTTTAGGACTGATGTATTTCTGCAAAAAATGCCATTGCAATTTTGATAAGGATTGCCTTGAATCTGTAGATGGCTTTGGTTAGTATGGACACTTTAATAATATTAATTCTTACAATTCATGAACAGAGTATCTTTCCATTTATTTGTGCCTTCAATTCCTTTCATCAGTATTTTCTAGTTTTCAGTGTATAGATTTCTCACCTCCTTGGTTAAATTAATCCTAAATATTTTATTCTTTTTGATGCTATTGTAAATGATATCATTTTCTTAAATTCTCTTTCCAATAATTCATTGTTTGCGTATGGACACACAGTTGGTTTTTATGTATTGATTTCATAGCCTGCAACTTTATTGAATTCACTGATTTGTTCTAATAGTTTTTTGTTGACTCTTTCAAGTCTTCTGCAATATAAGGTTGTATTATCAGCAAACAGAGACAATTTTACTTCTTCCATTTTAATTTGGATGCCTTTTATTTCTTTTTCTTGCCTAATTGGCTCTAAAACTTCCAGTACTTCATCACTATTTATTTGTCCTGAGCTCATTAAAGGATACTTATAGTTCTGGATTTTCCCTCCTGTCAAGGCTGAACTAAGGATTGGAACTATTCTTTGCATAGGCTTTTGACATACATATTGATTTTTTTCAATTGCCTTGTTATTTTGCCTTTTGGACAATTGTGGAGATAGTACTACTCTGCTATTTTAAGTTAGATCAATTTATACATTTTATTTCATTTTACTTAATTTATAACATTGATATAAAGCAAAGGTCAGGAACCTCCTCCTGAATGGGCTGGATAATAAATATTTTAGGAATTATAAAAATTATAAATTTAAAACTTTAATTTTAAAATGATATGGGAAAGGAACCCTTTTGATTTTTCTAAGAAGGTACAGTAACAGTATAACAACAAGTTATTTCACTCTGTATATATACACACACATAGACAGCTCTAGAAATAGGCTCTAGAAATAATGATGTCAACTAGATGGAATAGTTTCAAAAGTTCAAATAGCCTGTGTCCTACGTCACTGATTTAAATGTATTATAATCAAATTAATGTATAATCTCATTTAGAGATATTAAAAAATGAGTAAGAGATCTCTGACTCAATGTAGAGTATTTATGCTAATGTTTGTTAAGTAAGTATTTATTCAGTTAAATTTTCACAAAGGCTATAAGATATTGCCCTTTTTTAAATGATGCAAAAGCTCAGAAATATTAAGAAACTAGACACAAATAAAATGATAATGTCAGGGACTTAATTGCAGTAGTCACTGCTTTTTCTCCTTTTGGATGATTATAGAGTTAGTACTACTCTATTTTAAGTTAAATCAATGTATACATTTTATTTAATTTATAACATTGATATAAAGCAGAGGTCAGGAAACTCTTCTGTAATGGGCTGGATAATAAATATTTTAGGAATTACAAAAATTATAAAATTATAAAAATAGAATTAGAAATAAGATTATTGGTTAGTGTAGGTATTTTCATTATATTCTTTTGGCATATTTACAATATTCTTATAGGTCAAAATAGTCAAAGATGTCTGATTCTCAAAACAGTAAGAAAATAACTTGAAAAATTCTCTCTCCAGAGGGATACATTTGTATGTTAGAAGTCTGCCAAAAATGTCAGGAAACCACAGCATCAAGGTCAAATGAAAAATAACATCAAGGTCACAAATAACACATACAATGTAGATCCAGGTCAACAGTGGTCATCAGGGCAGAATAAACTTCTGCAGGTTCATTCATATTCTACAGATGCCAATTGTTCAAATAAACCCAAAATACCACTCTTTTCAAGAAATGATTCTGAAAAGATTTTTATGTCTTCTGTATGTTTACAGTCTGCTTTTCTAATCATTTTTGCTTTCTTGGAAACAAGAAAAAGTATCTATTTAATTTGAAGTAAGTTTCTCTTTAACTATTGTTTGACCCATGGTGGTGGGTTTAGAGCACATGAGCACTGGAAATAGTATCTTTTGAAAAGTATAAAAATTAACAAAGAAACAAAAGGAAAGATAGGCTGCAAGTATTGACTAAACCAGTTGAAAACAAGTAATTGGTCTTTGGAAGCTGTCTACAGAGCCTTAATTTCAGAATTATTCAATTTTGTTACTATATTTTAAAGTAGTCAATTTCCTTACAGTTTGAAATAAAATCTAGAACACTGAAGAAACACCAAAGGGCATTTGCGATAAACTACTTTTTGTTGTATCAGAGTATAAAAATAATTATGATATTTAAAGTCCTCACTCTGCAATTTTCCTGCTTGCATAAAGGA